TGGTGAAAATACTTAAAATTTGTACCTAGTAAGTAAGATTTTTAACCCAAAGCAGCCTAAATACACATTTTTAGCCAAAAATGTAGCCTTCGAAATGGTAAAATCAGGAGATACCTTTATATGAGCACTAATCCGAAAAATTGACCTACATTGAAAACTTTCTCCTACCCCTTATAATCCAAGATGACAAATAGAGGCCAAATCAAAAATTTAGCAGAAAAACATAGCATTTCAAACTGAAAAAAATCGCGTGATCTAAACAGTTTTATCCACCTCATAATTGAGGGCAGAATGATTTCAGAATAGTCAAATATAATTACTATTTTACACCCATTTCGTGATTTTATAGTGATTTTGAAAAAGTAATTATCTTTTAACTTTGTGATGACCGCATTAAATTATTTCGATATCATCTATTCCGTTTCGCCACCACATAATTCGGTAATACACTTCCATGTAACCCGCCATTAATTTCAGTTCTCAAGAAATTAAGTCAATTAAATAAATTTGTATTAATATTCGTCCCCACATTGGAGTATCCCCAAGTCCACATTCACATCTAATGTGTGGTCAGAAAAGAAAATTTTGTATTCTATTTAATTTGTAACCCCCAAGAGAATATTGGTTGTGAACGTAGATTTGGGATGTAGATGTACATGAAATAAATTGTGGAAACATGAACAAATTACAAATATAAGAAAGTAGCACGGGGCCGAATATTTGTGGAATCGTCATTGATTTATACTATGACGAAAAATATGGACTTTATGGGGTCTCCAACTTACAATTTAAATTGCAAATAAATTTAATTCCCATCTTACGGTAATGGGTGTAAAATAGTTATTATATTTGACAATTCTGAAATCATTCTGCCCTCAATTATGAGGTGGATAAAGCTATTTAAATCACTCTACTTTTTTTTACTGTGTAATGCTATGTTTTTCTGCTAGATTTTTGATTTGGCCTCTATTTGTCATCTTGGATTTCAACATATCTACAAATTTTAGGATTTTCTCCATGTAATCGTATATATATATATATATATATATATATATATATATATATATATATATATATATATATATATATATATATATATATACATATATATATATATATATAGATATATATATATATGTATATATATATATATATATATATATATATATATATATATATATATATATATATATATATATATATATATATATGTATGTATATATATATATATATATATATATATATATATATATATATATATATATATATACATATATATATATATCTATATATATATATATATATATATATATATATATATATATATATAGATATATATTGTAAAATGTTTAGTTCACACTAATAACTTGAAATGTTAATTTCTTAAATCGAGAGGCAATTTGTATGGGAGATATACGTAAACGTGGACCAATATTGCCCATATTAGATCTTTGAGTGCAAACACAAATATTCAAAATGTCAACTTTACGTTTACAAATTATTATTATTATTATTATTATTATTATTATTATTATTATTATTATTATTATTATTATTATTATTATTATTATTATTATTATTATTATTATTATTATTATTATTATTATTATTATTATTATTATTATTATTATTATTATTATTATTATTATTATTATTATTATTATTATTATTATTATTACTATTATTATTATTATTATTATTATTATTATTATTATTATTATTATTATTATTATTATTATTATTATTATTATTATTATTATTATTATTATTATTATTATTATTATTATTATTATTATTATTATTATTATTATTATTATTATTATTATTATTATTATTATTATTATTATTATTATTATTATTATTATTATTATTATTATTATTATTATTATTATTATTATTATTATTATTATTATTATTATTATTATTATTATTATTATTATTATTATTATTATTATTATTATTATTATTATTATTATTATTATTATTATTATTATTATTATTATTATTATTATTATTATTATTATTATTATTATTATTATTATTATTATTACATCGACTTAGACATTTATTCAGATCAATCAATCAGATCAAGATCACAAATTACTATTTCGTTCGTTTAATAACGGGAAAGAGCATACAAAGTGGGAACACTTCAATTCGCCTTAATCGACATTAACAAAATGATATTCTGTATAGCATACTTTACGGATCTTGCGCTAATAAGCATAGACAAATGAAAATATAGACAACGAAAAGTTAGTTTTGTCTTTTTTTTTCAGGTGGCTCTCATCATGTTTTGCATAGTCAACATGCTGATTTACGCGTTCAAGCCACTCGACTTCGAAAACACATTTTATCCTTTTTCAAGAATTTCACTGGAATATTCCCATATTTTTCGATGTCATCACGTAATTTTCTTATTTATTTTATTATGGAACAATTTTCAACTGACAAATATCCTACAGTTTTTGTTATTTTTAACGTTTTAGAATTGAGTGACTTCAATATTCCCACTCAAACCCCTGAAACGATATGAACGACATCTGCTGATTCGATTTTTTCGAAGATAAACGGTGAGAGCATTTCGTTGTCTATATTTTCATTTGTCTATGTAATAAGTGAATAAGATGAGTCAAAAAAAAAAATAAAACATGATTATGATAGGTATAGCATTTTCATGAAACCCTTTGCAATTGAAATGAAACTTTTTGCAGCGGAAATGAAACCTTTTGCAGTGGAAATGAAACCTTTGCAGCGAAAATGAAACCTTTTACAACCGAAATGAAATTTTTTGCAACCGAAATTAATCTTTTTGCAAATCAAATGAAACTTTCAGATTTATAGATGGAAAAAAAAACAAAACAATTTTATTTTTAGCAGGTTTAAAATTAAATCAACTAATTATAACTAATATATAGTTAAAGAGAATTTTTTTGATTATTAATATCTACATTTTTATGTTATTTCTTAAATTTTAAATTATTGTAATAGCAAATGGTCCTTTATTGAATTGATATAAAATATTTCCATATATTTTAAATTTCAACAAATTTTGGCCTTTATAGGTATGGGCAGAAATGAAATGTGAAATTAAACTTTACTACAATGTTTTATAGTTATAGTTTAATATTAATCTTACCCAATAAAGGATTCCCGCTTCGCAACTTTATTGATTATGCAGAAAGGGCAGTCTTCCTATTTGGGCTATTGAATGGTTTGCTCTATCGCATACACAATGTAATGCCTTATTGAAACATCCCGGTATCATTTTCAATACCAAACATCCTAGACACAATACAATGTTGTGCAAAATTTCAAAGCTCTTCATCAAATTTATCTTAATATCGTGATTTCAATAGACAGACAGACAGGTGGACATCATTAAATCCGCTTTAATCATGATTGTATATACTTTATAGGGTGTACGACGAATATTTGGAGGTGTTACAAATCGAATTTAATATACCCTCCTTTCCATGGAGGAAGTTATAAAAAGGTATCTAATTCGGGTCTTTTGGAAAAAAGACCTTAAAAAACGTTTTTTAATCATTCTGCATCTACACTTACGTTTTATGGAAGCTGAAAATTTAAGAAATAATATTATAAAAACATAGACATTAATAATCAATAAAAATGCTTCTTTAACTATATATTATTTATAATTCGTTGATTTAATTTGAAACCTACTAAAAATTAAAATATTTTATATTTTTTCCTTCTATAAAAATGGTTTCATTTCGGTTGCAAAAGGTTTAATTTCCGCTGCAAAAGGTTTCATTTCCACTGCAAAAGGTTTAATTTCCACTGCAAAAAGTTTCATTTCAATTGCAAAAGGTTTCATTTAATCTGAAAATGCCATATTATATCATAAAGCTCATACTCTAACTCTTAACTAGATACAAAGCTATTTTAAATATCTCCCTTTGCAATAAAATATGGAGCTTGCACCAATTTTATGGAGCTTGCACCAATTTTGATAATAGTTTCTTTGTTACATGATGTCCCAGAAAAGTGTTTGATGACACAGAACTAGTTGAGTTACTGCAAGTGCAGAAGAATTTTAAAAGCTGATTAAATTGGATCTGACGTTCTTCACCTTTTGAACAGATAAAGGTGTCTGGTTTTAAAGCTGATATTCGACGAGTAAAGAAATGGTTTAAGATGTTGTAAATAGTATTGACCTGTTGCTATGTTTGGCTAAAGTCAAGGAGCCTAAGGGCACTTTAGTTGTTGTTGTAGCAGTAGTACATGTGTGTGTTTGTGTTCTGCTAATCTGGTTCCAGCTCCAGGTTTAGAAATTCGGCTACTTTAACGGGCTGTAGCCAGAGATCCTCTGGAGTGAGTTGAGTAGGTTTGGCTGAGCAATTAAAAAGGTGTAGCGTATTGTGCGGGCCTGTATCACACGCCGGGCAGGCGTCACGCACATCTTCATCAATTCGTGAAGGGCACTTTAGTGATTTACCATACTGAATCCATATGAATCCGATCCATACACCATGGTTGGACCAGAGACCAAATTTTCGAAAATAATTCAAATTTTCACACCACCAAAAGGACGTTCTGTATGGTACTCTCTTCTTCATTCACACATAATCTTCGGATCAGTATATTGGCTAAAATTCTCCCCCGACAGTTAATCAGCCATTTCATTCGCCGGTGATCCAACAAAACTTGATTCACTTTAGTGATTTACCATACTAAATCAAGTTTTGTTGGATCACCGGCGAATGAAATGGCTGATTAACTGTCGGGGGAGAATTTTAGCCAATATACTGATCCGAAGATTATGTGTGAATGAAGAAGAGAGTACCATACAAAACGTCCTTTTGGTGGTGTGAAAATTTGAATTATTTTCGAAAATTTGGTCTCTGGTCCAACCATGGTGTATGGATCGAACAGTATTTGACAGGCCAATCGATTAAATCGTTGAAAATCGTTCCCAATAAAATATTCATTAGCATCAAAACAAATCCCACCCCATTAATTACAACGTGTTTCACTCACATTTAAAAGTTACATTTTTAATGGAAATTTTAGACACTTAATTTAACAAAAATACTTCAATACCTATTATTTGTTGGTTCTTATAAAATGCACAAAAAACTGCAATAATAACAATTTAACAAATATATGTTTCAATCGATTACGACAAATTAAGTTAAATACGAGAAGATACGTTAAGAACCAATCTAAGAGATTACAATTCTTAAAACAGTACTGATTCGGATTTTTTTCGAAATCTAATACATACACAATGAATATCAACTTACAACATATTAGTATATATAATGTTTAAGGATTTTTTACTATATGAGTAAATAATAAGTAAATAGATTGAGGAGAAGATTGCTCTTGTGTTGTTGTAATTTACATCTTAGGTAATTAGATTTTGACAGAAGAAACTCGTTGGAGGGGTAACTTAGTTTTTTGTTTGTTTTCTTTCAAAAAGGCATCTCATTTAGAGTTTGGATTTCACTTGTGGAATGATGATATCACGCCACCATGGTGGCCTTTCAAAGGCACCTGGATTTGTCATAAATTCGTTCTGCAAATTTTCATACAACAAGCCATCAGATTTTCCTATGATCGAATTTAATGCGAAATCTGGAGGTGCTAGCGCATCGGCAACAGCAACAGCGGAATCCTTAAACTCTGCACATTTCTGCAGAAGGCGTGTTCTAATCAGATCTGCAAATGTGGAGCCATGAGCAAAGCCACCAACGTAGAAGGTAGTCATGTGTCTATCGAAGCATCTCATCGCATAAATATCAAACGCCAACTTTAGAACTTTGGAATACTCTCCAGCTACATCTGGCCGATTGAATCTCTCAATAAAACGTGACAAACAGAAATATTCTGAATATATAATGGACATTTCACGGGCTCCATACACTTGGGAATTATTGCGGGCATCAAATCTATGACTGCCACCATTCATGTCTTTGGTTATTTTCGATGATGTGACTTCTAGTAAATGACACAGCATCCATTCGTAACATTTCAAGACAACTGAAATAAAAAATCGATCATTTACATTTCTAAAACGGTAATCATTAAAGATAACATACATTCGAAGGAGTCAATTGGTGCTTGTTTCAGTACCGATTCCCAATTTTGTTTTAAAATATTGTCTCTATCTTTCAAAAAATTCGCAGTGCCCACTGGACTTTCTATGCCTTCATTCCACTGACGAAGTAACCAATTCGATGCTTGTTGTCCAAGAACATTGTTGTCGCCCTCGTATGTAAGACTAGGATCGTGATCGTTGCGTAAATCACCCAATTTGGAGGCTTTTAGATATCCATGGCCACCACAAGCCTCTCTAGCTTCTTGAATAGCGTCTCGTGCCGTCCATGTTATCATGGGCTTCGATGATGATATAACAGCATGGATTTCCGACACGGCTTGAGTCTGCCACATAAAATAAGAAGTACGTAAATTATAAATTATCATGTTCTCTATTGTAAAAAAAAATTAAATAAAAATATCTATAGAAATAAAGGACATATTTGGAAATCGCATTCATAATAATCGCAATCAAAATAATTTTGGTTTGTTAATCTATATAAAAAATTTAATTAAATTAAATATAAAAAACAACTTGATGGGACTGAGTTTTCACTACCCTATTTCATGAGCCAAGTCGGTTTTATGAGGAATTCAAAGTGTCTTATATTCGTAGAGTTGCCGTAATGTGGAGGATCTATCAAAACCTGAATATTATTGCGAGATAGTCTACTATTTTTTACGAACTCACAATAATAGACCTCTCAGTAAGAAAATTAAGTTACATGCAAGTTATTCAATTTTAAATTGTTTTGCAAGAAGTACAACCACTTTAGTTCGATCTAATCAGAAAAAGTTCGGAAATGCCGGCCAATTTGTTGGGAAACTGTTGAATAAACCTTCAAAATGGTAAGAAAAGGAGACCTTCAAAATGAACGTAAAAATAAATATACGAAATACGTTAACAATAATAATGTGTTTAACGGAAATGGAAATTAGAGCTATTTCTGTGACGAAATGTGACACAAAGCTTGATTTGCTCAAGAATTTTCGGTATATCTCACGAATATATTGCGGAAATGACCAAATTAATATTCCATTTTTTACTTTTTATTGATATGTATAAAACACAATGATAAATGGTCATGATTGTCTGAAATGGCCTGTCAAGAATTATAAAAGAAATTTTCCGGTAGCCCTATTATCACAATAATATGAATTATTGTGGTGTATTAGGTTTATTCAGATGAACTGCAATACTAATGATTAAGGTTTGAACATGTCATTAATTAAGATTATATACGGATATCAAGAGGTAGGGAATAAATCCTGTAATGGACTTTCATTGATGTGACTTTCATTTTGTGACAAAGGATTTATATCCTCGAAATACGTTTGAAACCATCAAAATGTCTCAAATCGGTCAGTTATATGGGAGGAACCAGTTTTCAAGGACTAGATTTAAGTATAATGAAAACATCAAATGTAAAATCAGGATATATTTGGTCGATAAACATTATGAGATAATTTTATATGGGAGCTATATCTGAATGAGTACCAATATATTCCTTATGTAATATCATCAATCAATAATATAAAAACCTGTACAGTTTCAAAAACACATCTTAAATATTGCGACCTCTATCGTAATTGCAAATGACGGACACAGGGGCTCACGGAAATAATTTATAGGCTCCCTAACTGATACCTAGGTTTTGATAGTTAAATTAAAGCCTTGCGGACAGAACATTTCAAACTCTTAAAAACACTGTTACATTGACATTTTTGTAGAAAGTGTTTAATTCGAATTAGAAATCACTATCGACTCTGCGGACAAAGACCTAAAATGGTAATGACTAGACAAAATGCATTCTTAGCAAATGGTTTGAGGCTATACTACTTTGAATAACAGCATATGACAAAGGCATGCTAATATAAAAAACACAATTATAGGAAAGAATGAAAAATAAAAGTTTGGATAATCCAAAATATTGGATTCAAAATTTTATTCCATATACCTTCCCAAATAATTGCATACTGCCTTAGCGGTTTAAATTGCTTAACATTGCTAACTATGTTGTTACGATATCATAACAACAGAGGTATTTTTCACAGGGTTGCCATATTTTACTCTGTCTTGTCCTATCTTTATACTTCTATGTCTTTGCTGCGGACGAAAATGACAAAAAAAATATGTGATTGGTAGATTGACTGCAGGTGAAAGCCAATATTTCCGCAAAGTTTAGGCTTTTTAAAATAGAAAAACTATAAGTTTACAATTAATATCTTGATTACCATGTTCTTAAAAGGAAGCGTTAAACTCTAAAACTATGAGCCAGCAACGCAGTCCGGGTCAGCTAGTTAGGCATAGTCTTCTGGCTTAAAATGAAAACTTTACTATCGTTTAGTGATTCTTGTCCGTATAGTTTAATGCAACACTGTTCCACGATCACCAACTTATTAAAGCTCTATGAATTAGATATTAATTGGAAGAAGAAAAATAAAAATAATAACATAACTAACAATGTCAGACTTTAATCCCAACCACTTGGAAGACAACATAGAAAGAGATTGCATATTATCATTCGTCCAGTGAAATAAAAACCAAAAAACTGTTCTACCAAAATTGGATTAAAGAGTTAAATTGTTCAGCTGCATAATATTTCCTTTACATACCAGCAATTCAAAACCATTCGAATCGGCCTGTGATTTTTCAATAATACCCAAATAGATATCTGTTAGTTCCATAACAGCAATTTTCAAAACGCAGGAAGCTGCCAAATACGGGAATATTCTCCATTGCTACAAAAACAAAACATATATGTTTACTTCGAATTTGGTCGTTTCAAACACACAAAATACTCACATGGAGTTGATATTCGATTATAGCTACTTCAGGTCCAGATTTTTCCGGTCCGAATTGTTTTCGCAAGGCAGCATAACGTACAGCTATTATGGAAGCAGTGGACAATGTATTCACAGATTCCTGCATGATACCAATTCGACCAGCCGAAAATGATTCCAATGCAGATCCCAATACTTTTCCCGGCTCTGTAAACACACTCTCGTACACGCCTTCAGGAGTTACATCGCCTGTGCGATTTAGTAAATTCTCACGGGGTATACGATAGTTCGAAAACATAACAAATCCATTGTCTATGCCATTTAAACCTATCTTTTCGCCAATATCTCCAACTAAAACTCCAGGATAAGCTTGAAGTGTCTTTGGGTCCCTGATGGGAATAAGGAAACCATGTAAACCCTGATTTGCACCATCCGGAGTATACAGGTTGGCGAAGGTCATGGCCACGGTGGCCGTTTTGCCCAAATTGCCAACCCAACATTTTGCCGCTTCAAAGTCTGGTGTGTTGATGATGAATTCTTGCGTAGTCGGATCATAGGTTGCCGTTGTGCGAATACATTTTGTGTTGCTGCCATGCGAGAGTTCCGTAATGGCTAGACATGTGACAATCTCACGATTCCAGGCAGCCTCATAGTATTTCATATGTCTTTCAGTGCCCATAGCCCGAATGGCGTTATTGAATAGACCCACACCCAAGGCAATCTTCACCGACAAACTGGGACAGTAGGCATGCAGGGCCTCATTGATGCCCATTAAATATTTGGTTTTCTCACTGAACGAACGCTGTTCGATCTCTTTAGGAACTAAGTCTAGTTGTTTCATGCGATTCATTTGCATTGCGCAAATGCGTTTCTGTTGATCGGTGGGTAGTGTTGATATGGGCTGTGAAAAAAGGGGATCATTCTCCAGTATTTTCCAGACTTTGTACTGAAAAAAGACAAATGTATCTTTTAATAATCGACCACATGTGTGCAATTTCGAAAACATACCTTGAGCCGCAAAACTTGTTCCTTTTCAAAGATAAGCCTCAAACGTTTCCAATCAAAGTTGGCCCTTTTCCGGTAAATACACAAAGGCCCTTTGGGAAGGTCTGGTATAAATGATGTATCCACACTTTGAGTCATCTTCTTGAGTTTCTAATTGCGGACACTGTGGTTGTGTTTTAAATCTGCAAAGAATACAAAAATGTGTGTAAATAAGTTTTAGTGCGCTTGGAATTGCGGTCAAATGAAATCGTCTCAATGTGTAATGCTACAACTTCGACTACCAAAGTCGATGTACTCATTCTTGGGAAGCCTTATAACTTCTTCCGTATATTTTGATTGACTTGAATTCGCTGAACATTTACTTGTTTTTGGTTCCAGTCTAGTTAATTGTTAAAAGAACATAAAATTAGCTTTATGACAATGTACCTTTTTAACTATTAATAGACCCCACACTGCATTACTTGGCAACTAATCTTCGTGGGAGGCTTATCACACATTGCCAAACAACTGAATGTTTACTGATTCTCTCTGTCATTTGTAAATGTTTAATTTAATGCCGTGCCGATTTAATCAAAACAAACAATGCAACGTCACTTAATTGCTGTCATTGTCATCGTAAATTTAATTACACGTTCTCTGCTATACGTCATTTTTATAACTGTTATAAACTTATCGGTGCTACTCCAAATGTCTCACTTCGCTGCTCGCCATGCCTATAGAATGTTTAATAAAGTGCGGGTGTTGGGGGCAGCCTTTAATTATTGAATAAATATCACGGTTGTATTTATTAAATGGGAAATGCCTACTTTTATTTGGAAATGTAGTTTATGATGTTTTTTAGTATTAAACAGAACAGTTTCGGATACCGTAGTTATTTTGTATTTGCAAAAGGAATAAGCCCATAATTGTTGTCCCTATAAAAAACAACGTTTATTTATTAGCTTTGGTCTGGGGATATTCTCTATAGGAATTATTTAAAATAACTCCTATGACAATCATTTTTTTTTGTCTTCAAAGAATTGAAGTCAAAATTCTTTTGGCACTAATTTACTGTGGTGAAAAAATCATGTTGAAATCAAAATATAAATTTCAATAGATTTCTTGCGCAAACTTATTGTAGAAAGAATTCAATGTCATTGGTTTGGAAGACTTGTTAAGCAACAATGATTGTTACATTTTATTTAATTTTACTCGATTTTTAAATTCATAACTAGTTTTATGCCGCCTAATGGCTACTTTCTATTTTAGTTGTAACTACTTTTCCGAATAAATGCTGTTTCATTTTTAATTATGCCTCTGCTTTAATCTTTTTTCTGTAAAGTCAATTCAAGAACTGTACCATAATTATTTTCATAGAAAAGTTTGTAGGTGTCTTTTTTACACCTACTATTTATGCGATGAATACAATGTTGTTCAAGCATTTTGCAAAATCTTTATAGTTCCATAGACCAGAGAGTAGGAATACAAAATAAAGATTATACAAATTATTGAATGTATATCCTAATCATCAACTCAAGCATAGGGGAGTGCTTCGTCAGGAAATCAGTGCACTCATCAAGGATGTCTTATCATCACTCCTATGGCTTCTGGTCATAAATAATGTACTAATAGATCTGGAACGTAATGAAACTGAATTCTTTGCTTATTCTGACGACGTATTTCTGTTGATTTCTGGGAAATTCCTGCAAACAATTTCAGACCTAATGCAGGGAGCTCTTGTGAGACTATCGAGATGGCCGCGTTGCAATGGGCTTGGCGTCAACCCATCTAAAACAGAACTTGTTCTCTTTACGAGGAAGCGGAAGCTCACGGAATTTTTACCACCATCGCTGGATGGCGTCACATTGAGTCTTTCGTCTGAAGCCAAGTATCTCAGCACGATCCTCAACCACCGTCTGAACTGGACGAGAAACATCGAGGAATGCGCTAAACGAGGCTTGGTAGAACTCTACTCCTGCACAAACTCCATAGGAAAAAGCTGGGAACTGAAACTGTATATCATCAAATGGTTATATGAGTCAATCGCTTGACTTATGGTGTTTTAGTTTGGTGGCACTCTCCCTCATTAAAAACATTGGCAAAGTACAAAGAGCAGCATCACTATTAATTACAGGCGCACTCAGAAGCACACCTCAGTCTTCTTCGACACCCTACTCAACTTGAAACCCTTAATTTTATTTGTAGAGAAACAAGCGGCGAGATGAGACTCAAGGAACTTGATCAATGACGCAGTCAATCTTTCGGACATTCGGTCATTATGAATTATGTGGAGAACCTAGGTAGTCGGATTTTAACTAGTCACTATATATCACCTACGCTAAACTTCGAAACACTGGACCCAGAACACTCTACCTTTCAGCGGTATAGCTATCTATACCGACGCCTCTAAAATGGAAAGTGGAACGGGTGCAGGTGTTTTCTGTGAAAGCCTGAATATCCGGAATTCATTCAAACTCAATAAAGATTTAAAGTATTCCAGGCAGAGATCTTTTCTCTTAGGAAACCCGTAGAATTGCTGATGAATCAAACAGTTGAACTGGATGGACCGTGAAAACTTGTAGTAGGCTTAATCACAGGTCACTATAATATTTAGGTCATGACTTCCATGTGGGGGGTGAAGATACTGAGTATTGCAGGCTTTGTCAAGACGAGGAAGAGATAGAAACGGAACACCTTCTTTGTCAAAGTCCAACTCTTTTTAGAGTCGGACTGAGGCTCACAGGTAAGCAAACTCTGCATAATCTGTCTTCACTCTCCAATACTGAGCCGTCAATAATTCTTCAGTTAAGTAGAAGACTAAAGCATAGACAAATGAAGATATAGACAACTAAAAGTTAGTTTTGTCTTTTTTTCCAGATGGCTCTCATCATGTTTTGCATAGTCAACATGCTGATTTACGCGTTCAAGCCACTCGACTTCGAAAACACATTTTATCGTTTTTCAAGAATTTCACTGGAATATTCCCATATTTTTCGATGTCATCACGTACTTTTCACATTTCTTTTATTATGAAATAATTTTCAGCTGACAAATATCCTACAGTTTTTGTTATTTTTAACATTTTTGAATTGAGTGACTTCAAAATTCCCACTCAAACCCCTGAAACGATATGGACGACATCTGCTGTTCCGATTTTTTTCGAAGATAAACGGTGAGAGCATTTCGTTGTCTATATTTTCATTTGTCTATGACTAAAGTGGCCAAAGACAACACGATAAATTCTTCGTGGATACATCCTTCTGACATAGGGTTTCTCTCTCTCTCTATCTTCATTTCTTTACCATAACTTTTGACAGAGATGTCACATCGCTTAATGACATACCGCGTTTGAAGCGACCGTGAAAGCAGATTTTTACAATGAACCAATACACGCCACGAGAAATAGTTGAAATTTACATTCAACAGAAGAAGTCAATTGTGAAAACTCAACGTGCTTTTAAAACATTAAAAAATGTGAGAAGTGCGCCTTCTAAGAACACCATTATACGTTTATACGAAAAATTTTCGACTGGTAAGGCTCTTTCTAATCCGAAGAGGCCATATAAAAGTCGTCCAAGGCGATCGGCCAAGAATATCGCTGCCGTACGAGCCAGTGTTGAGAGGTCCCCAAGAACATCCCAAAAACGCCGTTCTCAGCAGTTGGGCATGGCTCGGTCCACTTAACAACGGATTATTCGCATTGATTTGCATTTGTTCCCGTACAAAATTCAATTGACGCAAAAATGTTGCTTGCGGACAAGCCTCGTCGATTGGAATGGGCCCAAAGAGTCATGGGTCCGTTATATGGGGCCTATACGATATCGTGGGCCTATATAGATAATTCTCTGCCGAGGTATAAAGTACCCACAAGGAACTCCTTGTGTGGATTTTCAGACAATTCCGTTGAAAAAGTTATCAAAATACCGAATATCGGGGATACCGTTATATGGGGGATATACGATATCGTGGACCTATATAGACAATTCTCTCTTAGGGGGTAAAGTATTCACAAGGAACTACTTGTGTGAATTTTCAGACAATTCCATTGAAAAATGTGGCTAAAATCTTCAAAATACCGAATATCGGAGGGTACCGTTATATGGGGGCTATACGATATCGTGGACCGATATAGCACATCTTATATTATATAGCCCAACTTGACCTGCCTGCAGCCAAAAGAGAGATCTGTGCAAAATTTTAGCTTCCTATCTTAATTTGTTTAGACTGTAGCGTGATTACAACAGACGGACGGTCAGGGCTAAATCGTCTTAGAATGATAAAATGATTATTTCGATTAGTTACAAACGGAATGACGAACTTAATATACCCTCCATACTATGTATGGTGGAGAGTATAAAAACAATACGGAAGTGTACCAGTAGTCGGCACTTTTAAGATTTTCGATTTTTCAATCTTTCAACATTCTGAGTGAAATCTTTCAAATGCAGAAAAATAAAGTTGCTCAGATTCCAATTTTTGTTTAGTTTTCGAAATAATAAACAAAAATTGAATTTATTTTTATTAAATTTGCAATTTTACTAAAATAGTAGTTTTTTTTCCAGTAGTCGACACCATTTTCCAATGCTCGGCATGTCTATTTGCCAGTAGTTGGCATATGGTATTTCAGTAAAAAAAATATTATTTTGTATATTTTTTTATTTCAAATAGTATAAACAATGCTATATTACGAATTCACAGTTTAATCCAGAATTTGAAATTATTTTCGTTTTAAATAGTGTTTTATTTAAATGCCCGTGAAGATAAATTTTAGAATATATAAATTCAATGTGTTGGTGCGCAAGGGGTTAATTGAAAAATAGTTTTTTTCATATTAATGATTTTTACCATTTTTTTTGGATAAATCAACGTATTTTTAAATTAATTTAAATTAAATTAATTAATTAAATTAATTTAACAGGAAAATGACACAATTTCCCGACGAGGACGAATAACCAGAGTGGTGTTGGCGGTAGGGAAACTGCATGGAAAATGCTGAATTGTATATATATATATATATATATATATATATATATATATATATATATATATATATATATATACCTACCGAAACCGCCACTTTGGTTAGAAAATCGATAAAAATCGATTATCTGAAATCAGTTGGGAATATAAGGCATATATAGCCAGAAAGTACTCCTCGAGACCTTTCATTTAAGACCCGCCTCAATGACGCAGCTAGCATAGT